TTCAGGTAGGAGTAACAGTAACAACTACCACCACCAGAGTCTATCAGATAGTATGTCATCTCTAACAGCAGTTTATTCAACTTAACCAACCCTATCCCACAGGTTGTTTTTTGTTTACATTAAAGGGAAATATGATAAAAATTTAAAGAGTGGGATATAATTTTGTGAATTTTCTCATTTCCTCTACCATTTAAAACTGTGACAATTGTCAATACTCCTATGGTTTGGAAAGAAGCCTGGAATCTAAGTATCACGACTGTGATCAGCTCAGTACCATTGAGCAAGTCTCTACTAATCACTTATTCTGAGCCAGATACTATAGAATATGCAGGAAACATAAGATGAATAAAAGGTAGCTCTGTAATTCAAGGAGCTCACCATCATGAAAATAACCAGTTATGTTAATCCCCTAACCCTGAAGGGGGTTTCAGCACTGTATAGGGAGCCATACAGGGGCTTTATTTCATCTGAATAAAAACGTAGGGGGTCCTAATTGAATGGACTTGCAGGAAAAAAGAAATCTGGGTTTCAACAGCGTACTGGGGTACTCTGACCTTTATCTAAACCCCAAAGGCAATCTTAGGAATAATCTATCTTCTCTTGGTAAGGCATCATTGTAACAAGTATTTTCGTCAGAAAGTCAAATAAACTGCAGTATCTAATAAAGAGACTGTAAAATTATTTCCTACTCTTCAGTTCCCACTGGTATTTCACTCTGGTTTACTCTTTAATTATTAAGTCCCACCTTGAGTGCCCAGAATTTTTTTCTCAAGATGCATAGCCCGTCTTTGCAAGTCCGCTGACTCTACAGGTAAATGCCGACTCCAGAGATAATTGGTCAGTGTTTGCACCTGTTTCTCCACATTCGGGATCGCGCTCTCTGTGAGCCAAAGATGAAAAGCGGAATCACTTTGGCGCAGGCAGAATCCTGTCTCTTCTCCAGCCCCCTTTCCTGCCATTACTCACCCAGCAGCAGTAACTGCGCCGCGTTAGCCAGTGCCTGCGGCAGCCGCACGTGCGGTAACTTCAAGATGCCAGGGTGCTTGCGATAGTGCAGCTTCTCCAGAAAATCGGTCTTGTCATCGACCCGGGTCACGCCAGGCACCAGCGCAGCGAGTGCCTGCAGGCCAGAAAAGAAAAGCTGATTGCCGGCAGAGAGGAAGGCGGCGGGCGCTCACTGGGCGGAAGGGCTGCCAAGCTCGCTCCTCTTGGGAGCAGAGCTGTCCCTGGAGCCCCAGGGTCTCTCGGAAAGCAGGGAATGTAGGCACTCACCCTGGACTGGGGAGGTACTCGAAAGCAGCGGCACCATCTGCCTAACTTCAAGAGACATCCAAGTCCCCGCGCGGTCGCCATGGTTCCGGTGGCGAACCGGAAACGGAAGTGTAGGTGCCGGTGCGCTTAATCGCCTGCGGTAGGCACTCTTCACAGGATTTTGCCCAATGAGAAGAGCAAGTGTTTTCTAGCAGCCAATAAGCAATTGATATGCAAATATCCTTGAGGCGGAAACTCTATGTTGGCGGGATTTAGCAGGCCCTTCGAAAGTCGTCAACTGGAGGTGAAGTGGCCTAAGAGTTGCCTTGGGTTTTGTCACCTGGGCCAGAAGTTGAGACATGTGACTAAAGGGCGTGGGGTGGATGGCGTTGGGTGAGGGTAGAGACTGTTTCTTTGAATGTATTGATTGCCCATATTTCATACTTTTCTCCTTGGAGAACACTAGCAGAAATTAATAATTATTAAATAGTTAATAGTCTAATAAATATCAAACTTAAGTTTCAGGTATTTAATAGGTTTAAATTTTTCTTAATGTTAGTTTCTCTTGAAATTAAACTGGTCGTCTTAGTAAGCTGACATAACACTGAGAACCTCCTGTAACAGATATTGTACCAAGAACTTGTACATAATATTGTTGTAGGAAATATGATTAAATGAGTTTATTTGAGCACAAAGCTTGAGTATGGCCACTCAGTGATAGAGATTTCAAAGAATGAAAGCCAGTCCTCCAAATGTAGATATGGTTTAAAAGGGTTTCAACATATTCCACTCAAGGCTAGCACATATAGTGATTACTTGAGGTAGTGAGGTTTTTTTGTTTCATTAAAGGGGGGAAAGGTATTTATTTATTTATTGAGTTTTTAAAAATTATTTTTATTTCAGGTTAATTTGAGGGTACAAAGAAATAGGTTACAATGTTTGCATTTGTTAGGTAGAGTCCCTTTTATAATTGTATCCTGCCCCAAGAGATGTGCCATACACTCTAACATTGTGCCCATTAAATGGGAGCACACCCATCTCTTTCCCTCTTCCCTTCTCCTCCCTCCCTTGTTCCCCCTTTCCCCACCTCAAATTGATTTGAGTTTTGCTCTTATGTTGGTGTGTATACATCATCTTCTGGCTTCATATTTGTATTGAATACATTGGATACATGCTCCTGCATTCTTGTGATACTTTACTAAGAAGAATGTGTTTAAACTCCATCCAAGTTAATACAAAAGATCTAAAGTTTCCATCTTTTTTAAATGCCAAATAATATTTAATGGTATACATATAATACAGCTTGTTAATCCATTTATGGGTTGGTGGACATTTAGGTTGTTTCCATATCTTGGCAATTGTAAATTGAGCTGTGAGGAGCAATCTAGTGCAGATGTTCTTATAGTAAAATGATTTTTTTTCTTCTGGGTCGATGCCTAGTAATGGGATTGCAGGATCAAATGGGTAGTTTAATTTAAGTTCTTTGAGGATTCTCCATACTTCTTTCCAAAGAGGTTGTATTAGTTTGGAGTCCCGGGGAAAGGTATATTTAACATTCACACTGAAGATCTAACAGTTATGGGGAGGCTTTTACGTTATCTAGCTGAATTTTTCTTTAGGAATCAATATTCTTTATTTTTTTTTAATAGTCTGAGTTTTGTATAGGACAACAAGAGAAGTCAGTTAATCTATAATAAAGGTCAGTGATTAGAAGGGGAGAAGCTCTGGTCTCTGGTCTCCTAGTCATTTACAGATCAGTGACAATGAGGAAGAGAGAGTTAATTTATAAGAAGTAGAAGCAACTACATGCTGGCTTCAAAACCTGAATAGTGAATGAATCTCTGCCAAGCTGAATTGTGTGCCATGAGATGGTATCTATAAATATTCTCTAATTCTATCCAGTGTGTACTATGAAAAGTTACTGTTCCCATGGTAAAATAATATTTGTTGTTTAAATAATTGTCCATAGGAGGAAATTAGGGAGGCTCATGCGAGGGAGGTATAGAGATTGAATTGGATTTCAGGTCACACTTTTTGGAGAAAAAGACTTTGGCTTTCAATGTCACATCAACTTAACCAACTGGCAGCAAAGTTGGATAAGGAGTCCTTGAGCTATGCTCTGTCCATGACACTTGCTTCTTACTCTTGTTTTCCCTCTTCATCTGGAGCTTTAAGAGGAGAGGTTCTAAAGAAGAGAGTTGGCAAATTTCAAAGAATAGGAGGGATGGGTCATTTTTTATAAACTTGTATTTTTCCAGAAATTTTAGGTATCTACTGAAATCTGTCAGACTATATTTCTTACTGTGGCTCCTAAAAAGAAATTGAGTCTATAGTATTGAGAATATTAACTATGTTAGGCCTGCTGCAAATTTAGATTATAAGCTGCCTAAGTGGTTTACTAAGAGCCAATGTATTCTTTGATCATTGACGCCAATTTTGTTATTCTATAAACATAGAGTTCCTTCCGTATGACAGATAACATTATGGGCAGAGAAAAAAGATATTGATGTTGTACGTTGTGCCCTTTAGGAACTGGTAGTCTACTCATAGAAAACATACTGAGAGATAATTATAATACAAAGGTGAGCAGGGAAGATGGAGGCCAGCTGTAGGTCTTGGGAGGGTGTGGCAGAGGAGAGAGGAGGTTTCTTACTGGAGATGATACCAAACTAAATCTGAAAGGATGAATAATAATTTCCTTAGAAGACCAAGTGGGGGAAGTATGCTCCAGGCAAACCCAGAACAAGGCCTACAGGTGGCTGTCCATAATTCAGCATAGTTAAAAGAATAGGCCTACAAGGGATTTCAGAATGTTATTCAACCATTCTCAAGTCTGACTTTAGAAAAAGTTTTCATATATTGAATTTCTTTCTCTTGACTCTGGTTTTTATTTTCTGCAGAAAGATATATGTTCACCTCCTCACTGCTTGGGGATAGCAGAAGCATGGGGTAGTGCCTGGCAAGCGTGAGCTATGCTCCCTGTGTCCCTTTAGCACTGTGCAGGACCTCAGTGACCCCTTATCCTCTAATAGGCAGTAGAGATGGCTTCTTGGGTGGGAGAGATTGACAAATGGAACCACAGGGCACAGGGCAGGCAGTATCTGCATGATGGCTTCCCTCTCCTGGGGCATCTCCCTCTGGCAAGTGGCCCCTGACTAAATGATGAGGACAGATCCTAATTGTTTCCAGGGTAGAATAGACTTATTCTTGCTCATGGCTACTGTCAAGAGTGAGGTGGGAGGACCCTTCAGAAGAGCCAGAGAAGGTCAATAGACATAACTATGGCTTGTAAAAGGGAAGTTAAAAAAGGAGAAGATTCATGAATGAAAGGTTTTGTCACACTAAGAGTCAATATTTAGTTTGTTCTCATATTCCATCTCTTCTGAAAATGGAACAAGTGGAATGAGATCATGATTGCAGTGACCCTGTTGTCCCTAAGACATTCAGATAAGAGTGGGTAGCATGTGAGAAAGCAGGGATTTGGGAGACTCTGGAAAGTGTCACAATAGGAAAAGGCCTGCTATGTTTCCAAGGGCCGGATGAATGAGATGCCTGGGTTAGAATCTGAGGCAGCCTTTTCTTGCTAGGACAACCCCATTTCAATCAGTAAATGTTTCTTAGCATGAGCTATGGGCCACTTATCATAAATGAATGTCTATCTTTTTGCATTGGTTTTCCAGATAAGGAATAATGATTCTTGTCTGTGGACCTGTGACAGATCAAGGTGGTGTGTGACTCACAGGAGAAGCTCTTGAGTCCTGCAGGAAGGAGGCCAGCCAGGATGACTGAGCAGGTAGAAAGAACCAACCAACTGCAAAACAAAGACTAGCCTGGCCTGGAAGGGTGACTCAGGCTGCAGTGCATAGGCTGGCAAGGCATTTGGAGAGCTGTTGCAGAGTGCAGACCTTGGTAAATAATCTTCAGATCAAAGCTCTGGCTCTGGAAGTCGGGTGAAGAGTGTGCTTGGGGGGTCAGGGTTTTTTCTCTGTGGAAGCTTTGTGGGCATTAAAGAGAAAGGCCAGTGCCCACATAATCAGCATGGGTGTTTTTTAATTTTCTTAATCTCTCCCTATCGCCAGGCACAGTGGTTCATGCCTGTAATCTCAGCACTCTGGGAAGCCAGGACAGGTGGATTGCCTGAGTTCATGAATTTGAGACCAGCCTGAGCATGAGTGAAACCCTGTCTCTAAAAATAGTCCAGTGTTGTGGTGGGCGCCTGTAGTCCCAGCCACTCAGGAGGCTGAGTCAAGAGGATCACTTGAGCCCAAGAATTTGAGGTTGGCTTGGCACCTGTAGCACAGTGGTTACGGCACCAGCCATATACACCAAGGCTGGCAGGTTTGAACCCAGCCCAGGCCAGCTGGTTGCCTGTAGTCCCAGCTACATGGGAGGCTGAGGCAAGAGGATCTCTTAAGCCCAAGAGTTTGAGGTTGTCATGAATTTTGACTCCATGGCATTTTATTGAGGGTGACAAAGTGAGACTCTGTCTCAAAAAAAAAAAAAAAAAACAAAAAAACAAACAACCCCCCCCCCAATCTTTCCCCATATAAGTCCCCCTTGCAGGTCTTCTTCCTTTCCTTCTAGCTGTAGGGGTTGGACAATTTTCTAAAAAATTTGTGGGGCCTGGAGTGCTTGCCTATTGTCTCCCTTCCCTTTGAGGGATCTCTTCCTCACTTAAGAACTATGAATATTATTTCCCTCAGCCCCTTTGTTTCCTGGCTTCAGGTTAGAAGTTCCCAGAGAGCAGGGCACAAGGGGAGCAGAGAGCAGAGGCAGGCTGGAGGCCGGCTCAGCCCGAGTGGCATTTGGCCAAAGGATTTATGTTTCCTGGTTAGACTCTGTTCCTCCTCAGCCACTGCTCTTATTGATAAAAGGCAACAATAGTAGCCCTTCATCATCCCTGATCTGTGGAAAAATGTAGGCTTGGGAGTAGAAGGAGTTATTTGGGAAGCCCTGGAGTCAGGCAGGGCTGCCTTCCATCTGCTTCTCTTCATCTGCCAGGCCATACTTGAGTCTGATTTCCCCAAGGACAGCTGGGCTCCCACTGTGTGGTCTCCAAGTCCGGACTGAAGGTCTAGGCTTTCCTCCCTGGAAAATAATGGGGCA